CAAAAAAAGAGGAGGATAGGCATGGATGTTAGCTGAGGGCTGATCTTCCTCACAAAAAAAAAAAAAAGAAGAAGACTTTGGCATTTGTGTCACTTGGCATCTGGTGCTCAGTGTTGGCACCACACATAACCCTAAACATCTGCTCTCATGGTTAACATCATTCAAACATAAGGGGAATACTTCATATCTCTTGCCCTATGTACTTGAAACAAAAGGCAAATGCATCCAAATGCTGTGAAGTTTTATGAATTATATTGCTGCTGATGTCACGCACTGCTTTGGTGTACAGGGAGAATTTGAGCAGCAGAAGTGCTTAGCAAGAGAAAAGATAAATTAACTTGTCAAGTCTTTCCTCTCTCAAGAGCAATAGATTCTTCCATAACAATGATTGTTTCCCAGTAGAAACAAGCATTGGCTTTCTTGCTTCTCTTTGTGTTCCAATTCACGGTTCCTTGACATGTAGTAAGTGGGCCTCCATTTGTGCTCTTGCCCCAGGCCAGGCAAATGTTAGAAGCTGGCCTGTAGCTAACACAGTAAATTGCGAAAAAGAAATGAAGTATACCTATTGGAAGGGAGACAAAAATCATCACTATTTACCGCTGATTAAGTTGTCTATCTAGAGAACACCCAAGGGAATCAATGGAAACACTCATAGATTTAACAAGAGAGTTCAGAAAAGAGTTCAGCAAAGTGGCTAAATACCAATCAATAGTTTTCCTGGGGCCGGCCCCATGGCGCAGCGGTTGAGTTCAGTGTGCTCTGCTTCCGTGGCCCAGGTTCACGGGTTCGGATCCCAGACACAGACCTACATCACTCATCAGCCATGCTGTGGTGGCAACCCACATACAAAATAGAGGGAGATTGGCACAGATGTTAGCTCAGGGATAATCTTCCTCAAGCAAAAAAAAAAAAAAAAAAAAAGGTTTTCCTGTAAGCCAGCAACAACCAGTTAGAAGATATAATGGAGAGAAAAAAATCTATTCATGATGAAAAAAATAGCATAAAATCCCTAGGAATTACTTTTTAAAAAATGCACAGAGAGGGCCGGCCCCGTGGCTTAGCGGTTAAGTGCGCGTGCTCCGCTACTGGCGGCCCAGGTTTGGATCCCGGGCACGCACCGATGAACCGCTTCTCTGGCCATGCTGAGGCCGCGTCCCACATACAGCAACTAGAAGGATGTGCAGCTATGACATACAACTATCTACTGGGGCTTTGGGGGAAAAATAAATAAATAAAAATTAAAAAAAAAATGCACAGAGAAAACAAGAATGTTTGTATATCTTTCAACAACCAGAACTTGAATAAATGGAAATTGATGCCATATTTCTGGATGTGAAAGCTAAATTTTGTAAGATATCAATTTTTAAAAATTAATTACATGTTTAATTCAATCCAGTCAAAATTCAAAGTTATTTTACCTTGATGAAGTGAATCTAAAGTTCACCTAAAAGAGTTAATAAAGGAGAAAGGCAAAGAAATTTTCGAAAAAGAAAAATAATGATGGGAGATGTGGCTTATAAGATATTTAAATATATACATAAGTTATAATATTTAAAACATTATAGTACCGTCACAAGAATCAACAAACAAATCAGTAGGACAGAACAGAAAGCCTTGAGACTGACCTAGTAAAAAGATAATGTAAAAAAAAATGAAAGCATAAAAGCAATGGAAAAAATCGTAAAAGTATTGCTAGATTTGACTCCATCAAATTTAATGGCAAACACAAACCAGGAAAAATATTTAAAACATGATTGATGTCAGTATGATATAAAGAGCTCTTATGAATCAAACAAAAAACACCAATACTGAAAATAAAAATGGAAAAAGGATGTAAACAGAAGATATATATATGACAATAAATAAATGAAAAAATGTTCTAACATGCTATTAATCAATGAAATACAAATTTTTAAAGGAATGAAATTGGTGAAGAGGAAAAACACTGAAATTCTCAATGCAGATCTGATGTAATGGTACGGATACACTTCTATACTGCTGATGGGAGGGTAAATTGCCTTTCTGGAAAGCACGTTAGTAGTATATATCAAGAGTCTTTTAAACATTCATATCTTTTAAATGGATTAAAGAAGCAGCAGTCAACTGAGGAACAACACAGGTTTAAGTTGGCTACCCCAACACGTGGCTGCTCTGCTCTGGACTTGGGTTGCTGATTCTCTCCTTGCTCGGTTTCCTCATTCATAAAATGGAGAGAATTAATGGTACTAATCTCACAATACATGCAAGTCACTTAGCATATGTTCTGCCATCCTTTAAGTGATATGTAAATGTTAGCTATTATTAAATATATTATATATATATATATAAATGTATATATGAAATGTTCATAATTTTGACCCATTGAACTTCTAGGAATTTATCCTAAGGAAAAATTCAGGAATTCAGACAAAGATTTACATACAAGGATGTGCATCATATCTTTATTTGCAGAAGCAAAAACCATGGAAACAACTTCAATATCTAGCAATAAGAGAATAGTTAAATGAATTATAGTACATTCAAATGACACTGAAGTATTATACAATCATTTTAAGAAGATGGTGTTATTGAAGACAGTCTAATGACATGGAAACATGCTAACAAGTGAAAATAAAGCAGAGTATAAAACTGACTCTATTGTAGGATCAAATTTTTAAAAACTAATTTATATATATTTTGTACATAAAGAGGTATTTAAGAAAAAAGTTAATTAAAATATTGACCAATCAACATATTAACAATGTTTATCTCTGCATGTTGGGATCACGAGTTATTTTTTTCTTATGTTATTCAGTATTTTATACATTTTTTATAATGAATATGTATTATTCCCATTATCATGTAATTTGAAAGGAAAAATAGTACATATATATCATTAAAGATATATATATATCTCTAATGATCAGTTGCTCATCTATATGAATGGGTTTCCCTAAGTGCTCATTTTACTGCCATATTCAAAGTAGGACATTTGGAAAACAAATTATAAAGACAAACATTTCATTTTGGTGTATTCTTTCCAGTCTTTTATGCATAAAGAAATTCCTCTCTAACAAATCCTACTCTCTACTGTACAACAAGCCCATTGGGAGCAGGGTCTATGCCTCATTTGTCTGTGTATTCCTACAGTGCCTAATTCACTTGTATGCACATTGTAGGCACTCAGTAATTTATAGGTTGAATCATAATCAGAAAAGAGTCTGAAATTCTTCCACCATAAGGTGTAAATGATTGCTAACTCTTAAAGTGTTACCACTCCCAAAGATATTTGTATTTAAATTCATCAATTTTTTCCCCAAAAAGATTTATTAGGATCTAGTGCACAAAAGGCATTGTTTTAAGTACTATACTAGATACACAGAAGTTGTTCCTACCTTTTAAATGTTTATAATCTAAGCTAACCGTGGAGTGGATTAGGAAGGCAGAAGAAGCAAGAAGAGAACTACATCCATTGAGGTATCATTATATGTTAGACACTGTGCTAGACAATTTACTTATATGGAATTCTTACAACAAACCTTTGAGGCAGAATTTTCATCCATATTTCATAAATGTGGAAATAGAGGCTCAGAGAAGCTAAATGACTTATCCAAGTTCACAGACTTACTGGCAGAGCTGGGGTTTAAACCCTGGACCTTCTGGGTCTGACTCCAGACTATTCTCTCTCCCTTAATGAACATTGCCTCTCAAAAAGGTGCATGCGTGTTTGTGTGTGTGTGTGTGTAATTACAGTGCTAAGCAATATCAGGTAAGTGCCATACTAACAATGCAAAATAGTATATGGAGAGGCAGTAGAGCAACAGTTAAGAACCTGAGCTCTGGAAATGACTGCCTAGGTTTGAATTCTGGCTCTTCTCTTACTAGCTGTATACTCTTGGGCAAATTACTTAACTTCCCTGTGCATCGAAGTCCCATCCATAAAATGGGGGCTCATATCTAGCTCACAGTAAAGGGCAGTGTCTAGCACCTGGTAAACAGTCAATAAATATTGGTTATTATTACAGGAAATCAGAGGAGGGAGAAATCATATCCAGCTGGGAATGAATCAAGGAAGGCTTTATGGAGGAGGTGACATTGAAGAAAGAATATTATAAAGAAAGAATATTAATGGGCCGGCTCCGTGGCTTAGCGGTTAAGTG